GAGCTCCAAGTTAAGAAAAAATCCTGTAGTTCTGAATTTAAACTGAAAGCATCAGTTTGCACCCAAGATGTATTCATTATATCATATCTTAATATCCTAGCTCTATCCAATGAAAAGGCCTAAAAGTAATGACTGTCTAATAGCCATGAAGCACCACCCATTATGCAGACAATGATCTCTAATACCACACTCTGCTAAAAAGAACCAGGACTCCTACTTGATTATAGGTCTAGGTAAGGACATGTACAAGATGCACTTGGAACAGACAGTGTATCAAAAAGCATGTGGTTACAACACAGTGACTACAGTTAGTAACAATGTACTGTACACTTGAAAATTGCTAAGAGTGGATTTTAAGGTTCTCACCTCAACAAAAACATTATGTGAGGTAATGCACGTTAATTAGCTTGATTTAGCCATTCCATAATGCATATATATTTCAAAACACCATAAATATATACCATTTTTATTAGTCAACTTAAATAAAAGAAGAGATTCTGATTTAAGAAGAGCTCCAAGTTAAGAAAAAATCCTGTAGTTCTGAATTTAAACTGAAAGCATCAGTTTGCAGCATTGTAACCACATGCTTTTTGATACACTGTCTGTTCCAAGTGCATCTTGTACATGTCCTTACAACACAGTGACTACAGTTAGTAACAATGTACTGTACACTTGAAAATTGCTAAGAGTGGATTTTAAGGTTCTCACCTCAACAAAAACATTATGTGAGGTAATGCACGTTAATTAGCTTGATTTAGCCATTCCATAATGCATATATATTTCAAAACATCATGTTGTATACCATAAATATATACCATTTTTATTAGTCAACTTAAATAAACAAACAAGCCATAGAGGACTCCTGTGGGGTCATGTTAAAAAGACTCAGGAATCAACCTGAATAAATTACTACAGGCCAAAGATGGAACAATGTAAGCATCAATGAGGATAATAACTGCAATAGAGTGAAACATACAAAATGTTTAAATCTAAGAGTTTTTATAACAATATTAAAAATAAAAAACCAAAAAAGTAATTGTCCACTTTTGGAGGACGCTACAGATCATCTCATTTTTTCTTGGCTGGGGAAGTCAGCATTATTAAAGTATGTAATATATACAATAAAATTCAAAAAATATCAGTATACAATTCAATGTGTTTTGAAAAATGGTTACAGTAATGTAACCACCACACAATCACAAAAAAGAACATTCCCTCATGCCCTTTACAGTCAACTCCCTTCCCATTCTCTGGACCCTGGAAACTACTGACTTACTCTGTCACTACAGTTTTGCATTTTCTAGAGTTTCATAAAAATGGAATCAAAAGTATACAGTCTTTTATATCTGGCTTCTTTCACTTAGCATAATGCCTTTGAGATTCATCCTTGTTATTGCGAAATAGTATTCCATTGTATGGCTATACCACAATCTATTTATCCATTCATCAGCCAATGAACACTTAGGTTGAAATGGAATCAAAAGTATACAGTCTTTTATATCTGGCTTCTTTCACTTAGCATAATGCCTTTGAGATTCATCCTTGTTATTGCTAAATAGTATTCCATTGTATGGCTATACCACAATCTATTTATCCATTCATCAGCCAATGAACACTTAGGTTGTTTCTAGTTCTCAGCTACTATGAATATTTGAGTACAAGTCTTTGTGTGGACATATGTTTTCACTTCTCTTAGGTAATACCTAGGTAAATACCTAAGAGTATAAATGCTAAGTCATATGGTAAATGTATGTTTATCATTATAAGAAACTGACAAACTATTTTCCAAAGTGATGGACAGAATTATCTGACATTTCCATTAGGAATGCATGAGAGTTCTAGATGCTCCACCTCCTTGCTAGCACTTGGTATGGTCAGCCTTTAATTTTAACCATTCTAGTAGGTATACAGCAATATCTCATTATGGTTTTAATTTCATTTTGCTATCAAATCATGACATTTTCAAGTGCTTATGTGCCATCCATTTCTTCCTCGATAAAGCATCTGTTCAAATCTTTTGCTCATTTTTTAACTGGGTTGTTTGCCTTCTTGAGTTGTTTTTTATATATTCTGAATACAACTCTTTTGTCAGAAATGTTTTGCAAATATTTGTACTAGTCTGTAGCTTGCCTTTTCACCATTTTAAGTGTCTCCTGAGGAGATATTTTTATTTTGATGAAGTACAATTTACCAATTTTTCTTTTATATTTGGTGTTTTTTTGTGTCCTGTTTTAAAAATCTTTGCTAAACACAAGGTTAAGATTTTGTCCCATGTTTTCTTCTAGAAGCTTTATAATATTTGCTCTATGAGATAGATGTATGATCTATCTCATATTAATTTTTTGCATATGGTTTAAGGTAGGGTAATGGTCAAAATTGTATTCTTGCATATAGATATCCAATTGTTCCCGCATCATTTGTTGGAAAAATGATCCTTTACTCATTGAACTGTCTTGGCATTTTGGTTCCATTAATCTATCTGTTGATCCTTGTGCCAGTACACTACACTGTATTGATTACTATAGTTTTTACAAGTCTTGAAGTCAGGTACTGTAAGGCCCCAGATTCATTTTTCTTTTTCAAGAGGGTTTGGATATTCTAAATCATTTATACTTTCATACAAATTTTCAAATCACTTGTCAATTTCTATGAAGGAGCCTGATGAAATTTTGACTGGGATTGTGTTGAGTCTATAGATCAATTGGGGGAAACTGCCATC